GAAGCGTGGAGAAATATTATTTGAAGCGTGACGGAAAACAAGCGTCGATGCGAGGGAGATCGTCACGTGAAAAGGCCATGTGCGCTGTTCGATCATGTAAACAAAGTGGAAGACAGAAAGTCCAACGTTAGCTAGGCTATAAGAGGTAAGTAAAGACTAATCATTAATGTACATGTAAGTGACTGGCATCATTCAGATAATGTCTCTTGAATCAGCTGTCAGTTTATTGTAATTAAGCTAGAGCTACCGAACAAACAGGTAGTTCGAATTGCCTCAGACAGCTGTCAGAAATAGATCATGTGCATAAATGTGAGATTAAGCACATACTAGTACTTTATTAAAACCACCTGCCTGATTAAGAGCATATAGGGACGATCATTTGATTGGGGGGGGGGACTGATAGATTAAGGAAATAAATATTTTAACCTCTACCCCCACCCCTTTATGAAAAGGTGGTGACCTTAACATGGTGAAAAATGTTTTTCCTAACCAAAATTATTTCTCATCTACCATGTCTACTACTTTGTACATGCCATAATCATACTCGTACATGTACCCGTTGATATTTTTTAGATTTTGCATACAGTTTGTCTTTCTGCCACAGATTCAAAGAGAATTCAGATAGAAAATGGAACTATTGAACAATAAATTCTGCCTGGAAGCAAGAATTGGGGAATACAGTGCAAGGGATACCTGCTGCTCTATTTCAAAAGTTATTGGTAAGGTGATTAAGTCCTTGATAAATATCATTAAAAAATATAGCCTTTGTTAACAATAGACAACTTTAGCATTTTCCAAAAAGTATTTCTCTTTGTGGGGAGAATCTGGGTTCAGCTGGAATGAGGGACTGTTCTCCCTTTAAGCCAATTAAAAAATTATAATGTGTTTGTTTTTGGTAACATGCCAAAAATATTAGGGAAGGTAGGTAGGCGATACCTTTTTTTTTTTACTTTGCTTTTTATTAGCTCACCTGAGCCAAAGGCTGAAGTGAGCTTTTCTAATCACATTTTGTCTAGTGTCCATCTGTCTGTAAACTTTTCACATTTTTTACTTCTTCTCAAGAACCACTTGACCTACATGTATTTCAACCAAACTTAACAACAAAGTATCCATGGGTAAAGGGGGTTCAAGTTTGTTCAAATAAAAGCCACACTTCCTTCCAACTGAAGATAATTACAAATTAATTTAGTGAAAAATTAATATCATCTTTAAAAATCTTCTTCTCAAAAATCTGTGGGCCAGGAAAGATGAAACTTTTGTGGAAAATCCTCAGGTAGTGTAGATTCAAGTTTATTTAAATCAGGGGTAGGGTGGGGCTATAATGGATTATCAAAGTTTTACATAGGAATATATAGGGAAAATTTAAAAAAAATCTTCTCAAGAACAGCAAAGCCATGATTAGTCATATTTGTATGGAAGTTTCTTCAGATAGTGTAGATTTAAGTTTGTTTAAATCAAGATCCCTCGGGGAAGGTTGGGGCCACAATGAAAGTTAAAACTTATAGGAAAATAATCTTTAAAAAATCTTTGAAAGCCACAATTAGTCAAATAAATATGGAAGTTTCCTCAGTAAGTGTAAATTCCAGTTTCTTCGAATCATGCCCCACCACTTTAGGGGTAGGTTGGGACCACCAATATGTATTTAAACTTTTCAATACTGAACTGATTTCTGCTTTTTTTCTCCTAGCCACAGTGCTCGGGTGAGATATATGGCCCTTAGGGCTCTTATTTTGTAAGCATCAGTCAAATATTCAGTATGCCGCTGTTTTTTTTTTTTTTTGTTTTTTTTTTTGGTCATAGTCATATATAAATAGTTAAATACACATATGAATAAAATGTACACAACAAAACAATTGTACTCATTAAAACACTTGGATAGACATGTTTTAAAAGTATCATGGGGGACATCCTTGCAATGCCAGGGGTCCTGGGTCCTGGCTAATTTCATGTGATATTTTAAGTCTTGCTTCTCTCATTGAGAAGCACCAATCAAATTGAAGCTTTCTGAAATATTTAGATATGATAATGTAAACAGGAAGAATCACCTGTTACAAGTTGTTTATCATAGAATATGGCTTAATGTGATTGGTTGAGAGATGAGAAAAACAATGGATTTGAAAATTCCCCTAAAGATAATGCTACAGTCAGCCCATGATATTAATGAATGAAATTGACCAGGGGTCCCATGCAATGTATTGAATCAGGGCCCCTTGGCATTGCAAGGAGGGGGGGGGGGTGTAGCCAGGACAAGTCACTTCAGATGCATGACACTCCTAACCATTTTACAAGGGTCTGTTTTCCTAGGGGGTCAAAGACCTTTTTATTTTTGCTTATTTTCTTAGGCATTTAATATTTTTGTAAATTCCTTGTGGGTCTCCTGTAGATTTATGCTTACTGTATGCATAGCATAGCATTAATATAATTATGTACTATTTAATGTAAAATGTTCAGGGCATAATTATTAATAGTGTTATTGGTTTTGTATTCATCACTCATATAACAGAATGTCTTTTGGCAGTTTACCTTATATTATTCATCATATTGTGTACATGAATAAAAGATAGAACAAAAAAATTAAAGCCAAACTCCGTTGACCACAAAAAAAGGACTTGTGACAAGTGAAATAAAATGTAGATCATAGATGCATTATTTCTCAAATCCATCAGCCTGGCTTGATTTTCTTGAACTTGGGTCTCTTTTTCTGTTTTGACCTGGAAGTTCATCTGATCCAATGGTTCAAGAGAGCTTTTCTGATCCCTTAAGGACATACGCAACGTAGTTTGAACTTTATTGTCGTTTTCCTTGGAGTTGTAGAGTTCCAATACTTAAAGGAAATGTGTGCTACATTTTAATGTCTATATATTCTGTTGTACACTTCTTCTTAAACAAGTTTGGATAAACATCTAGAATATATGTTTAGTAATTTTCGTATATTTTTCTTTGAATATTATACAAGAATTTTGCCTCAATTGGTGTCTTTTCAAAACCCCTGGTATTATTAAATAAAAATACTCCACCAAAGGAATTGTCAAATAAATTGCACCTTGAATTTTACAATGAAGTCTATGGGGAGTGCAGGTTTTATTAAGATATTGTAAGAAGTAATTTGAATTTCATGTAGAGCTCTTGATGAAAATATGCATAAACTCTCTCTTTATTAAAATATGAAATAAAATGAATCATTTGCCACAGATATTTTGATAAAATTAAATTTTTGGGTTTTTCATCAAGGGCAGATAACTCTTCAAAAAATGTTAAAGTGCAAAATGACCAGCTTCTTTCATGTTATCAGTCATGTGAATTTGGTTCATTTCCCTTTCATCATTATCTAGCAATACATTTTTAACTAGTTTAAAATGATTCAAAACAGTTCAAAATCCATTCAGTATACACTGAATACCTTAATACATGTATCAGACTTTCTCAACAGAACTACTGGACCAGTTTTAACTAAACCTGGCACAAATGAAGGAGAAATTTATTTTCAATGAGGAGAAAACTAAAAAGTAATAAAATTTAAGTAAACAATAAATCAATTCATTTTGGCATGAAGACCATTGGTTTCACTAATAGGATGCTTCCTTTTCATACTAGTTATCATGAAAAAAATTGGCAGGAAAAAAGTTCTCCATCTCAGGTTTCCCTTGATTATGCATGGTAATTATAAAAACTCTAACTGTGTTTCAAACTTTTTATTTCAGGGAATTTGTGATAGAAGATTGTGCAGATCTGGACAAAAATTCAATGTGAATAACTTTGAAGAAAGAAGTCTTGGCAAATTTCAGAGAATTTTTGATGGAAGAATATGTGTTGTTCCTGAACATTTTGCACATGAAATTTGTCCTTTTGACATCATTTGACACTAATTTGAAGTGATGCATTTTTGATAAATTTGTACATGTATATGAAATACTCCATTTAAAGTGTCACATCTGTGTCTCAGGTTACTGCTGATAAAGTGGGATCTGCATGAGTGAACAAACTTGAATTTCTGCATTTATATTGATTGCATTTATGAAATTTGTATTTATATTTACCAAAGTACCAAAGAATGTATTAAAATTATATGAAAATGGATGATTTGTGATGATTTTTTATGGTATTTTCTTGGATCTGAATGTCAAACATATAAAGGAATGCATGTTGGAAAAGCTGGATTGACTTCTTTGAGCTCTGCCATACATGTATGTACATGCGATAATGGCATTTTTATGTACGTATATGGCAGCTTATGGTGAAGGTCGAAGTTTTTCAAATTCATGTCAAACTCCAAGGTCAAGGTCAAGAGATCACAAATGTTATTATCCAAAGACAGGTCTTGTCTCAAGAAATGTGAGAGTAAAATACGAAAGCCCTAGCACTTACCTTTGAAAAGTTATGGTGAAGATTAAAGTTTTTCAAAAGTCGAACAACAAGTTCAAGGTCAAAACTAATGGTGGTCATGGGAAGGTCTTGTCATAAGAAATATGAAGCCCTAGCCCCAACTGTTCAGAAATTATTGCCAAGGTAAAAGTTTGGTAAAATTTTACAAAAATGGGTCAAACTCAAAGGTCAAATATGTTGGTACCCAAAGAAAGGTTTTGTCACAAAGAATACACATGTGAAAAATGAAATGCATAGCTCCAACAAAACAAAAGTTATGGGAAAAGTTAAGTTTTGGGGACATACATACAGATAGACAGGGCAAAAACTATAAACCCCTGAATCATCTTTGATTAGGGGGGCATAAACAACACTGATGTATTATACAGATTTGTTCGCACTGTACAGGAACCAAATGATGGCTATAATATTGGGTCAAAACTGAAAAAAGGTAAAAATTAGGAAAATTATGCATTTTTTTGTATAGTGTATATGTGTCTGATAATCCATAAATACATGCACGCATTTTAATGTAAAAATGACAATTATGCAGTACCTCATGCTTGACCATGAGAAGAAATTCACACTCAAATTTAGCATTCAAAAAAAAAAAAAAAAAAAAAAAAAATACATGTAAATGTAATGTGAAGCAGTCACCCATTCAAGGGTTAAACAGGCTCGACATTGCTTAACTTGTCTAATATAGAGGGAGATTTTACCGCATCACTAGAAAAGCTAGCTCACTAGCGACTCAGTACAAGTTCCCTATATACTGTCTGATACATTGGTACATATTTCCTAAAAATATAAGCACATAACAAAACTAAAGAAAATTGTTTATTATATTGTTTCAGTCTGACATAAACCTTTTTTTTCTTAGATCAATTTCAATCCACACAAGAGAGAAATGAAATATCTCTAAATTTCAGTAACATATCAGTGTCCTGTTTGTGTGTGTACATGTGGGATTTCATCTGCTATTGCATCTGTACATATTCTGTATTGGTAATCTTGAAATGCTTAAAGATTGATGTCATGGAATCTCAAATTAGATAAATCATCTAGTCTAAAACTTATAGGCTCAGTGTAAAAGATCTAGTAGTACAGAATTAAGTGATAGCAATAAGTCTGGCAGTCTATAAATCCATCCGAATTTAAATAGATCTGTTTCCTTCTTCAGATCCTTTTCTTTCAAACAAAACATTTTTCAAAATTGGTTATGACGTCATCCATAGGCATTTCTGAAATATAACAATACTATTACATCACCTGATTGTTGATCAATGAAAAGGACACATAACAAGAGGCCCATGGGCCATAATGCTCACCTTAGACACCTAATAATGCTCACCTTAGTCACCTTGTTCCTGGCTGAAGAATTTAAAAAAAAAAAGTCCTTTATTCCAATGAAAAATTACCTAATATTGTGGCCTCACCTTAGCCTAAAGGTTTGTAATAAAAAATTTACTTGAACCCCATAACATGTTCTTGTGTCCTTCCATCACACTTTGAACTTTTATATGCTGATACATATTGATGAGAGCTACTCAACATTTTTTTTACCTTGACCTTTCCTTTGAACCTGACTTTACTTTTCTTAAATTAGAGTGTTTAGCTCAGTTTCAAGAGCTATTTAAGATATTTTTATCAAATCTTATATGCTGATACATATTGATGGGACCCATTCAACTTCATCAACATATTTTTGATTTGACCTTTCCCCTGACCTTGACCTCATTTTTCTTAGATTAGTAAGTAGCTCTATTCAAGAGATTTGGATCAATCTTCATATGCTTATACATATTGATAAGAGCTATTCAGTTGCATAAATTTTGTTGATCTTGACTTCTCTCAATTTCTCTCAATTTTGTGTTAATTGCTAAGCTCAATTTTAAAGAAAAAATTGTGATTTTTTATTCAAACTTCATATGCTGATACATTTTGAAGAGTGTTACTGAACTGCAACATAAAATTTTGACCAGGACTTTTCCTTGGACCTTGATATCACTTTTTTCTTAAATAACTATATGCATGTAACACAGTTTCAACAAAACAATTCCATATGCTTTTATGTAAGCTTATGCACTGATGCAAAATTTGTTAAGAATTTATCAACTTTGTCCAACCTTTTTACCTGGACTTTTCCAATGACCTTTTTTTTCAAGATATTATCATCAAACTTCATACACAAATGCAAAAATGCAAATTTTCATGATGCATGATAAGCCCTAGTAGGGGCATTCATGTCCTATGGTCAAATTTCTAGTTTGTAGTATATTCCCATGCAAATTTTTAATCCCATACTATGGCTCCATCCTCTCAAAGGGCAATCTCCTATGCAGAGTTGTCATTCGTTCCTCTCTCAGACACCTCTGCAATGGGCTCGCATCAAGATTTTGACATTATAATGTAAAAAACATAACATTCCCAGAATTATTTTAAATTAAATTAATAGTTCTAGATCTACTTGGAAAGTAGCTACCTTTAGGAACAAAATTAGTGCAGGCATTTAATTAAAATGAATTTAAACAAACACACTATTTTTCATGTTTATCACTGTGATATATGCGAGCAGATGACAGAGGTGAATGTATGAGCCGATGGTAGAGTGCTCAAAGGGGTCTTATTTGACTGAAAATGAAACTACGCTATGCCAGGAAGTTTTCACATAAGTTTTAATTTTTCTGCTTAGTGGTTCTTAAGAAGATTTTCAAATGACACCGTCAAACATTAATTTTCTCTTTATGACCTCCCCTTGGCTCTTCATTTGAAAAAAATTAAATCCTTTCCACCAAATATTGTCTAGCGACAAATTTGGTTGAATTCTGGAAAAAAAAGTTGAAAATGTGAAAAGTTTACAGATGACTCAACATTTATGAATGATAGACAGATGCTAGACACTCTTTAATCAGAAATGTTCACTTTAACCTTGGGCTCAGTGAGCTTAAATGTACAGTATTTAATAATAATTATAAAGTAGATGTCTGTTTTCAATATATTAAGAATGTAAATATAAATATAGCACCTACTATATTATCCACATCCTAAAATTCATATATTCTGCAGCATGTTTTTTTTTTTTTAAATTGTACTGCAGAATATATCAATTCTAGGATGTACATAATTTTCAAAAATTCTGATTAATGTAAAAATGTGCAATTACTCTTTAGATTTTCTTAATGCCCCCCCCCCCCTTCCTGGCTAAATCTGCCACTGTGATAAATAAATCAATTTCTAATTCTTTTGAACACTGAATGTCCTTTTTACCTCTGTGCCATCCATAATTCTTTGAATGTAAAATCCTTTTCTTTCTTTACAACACTGTTTTCTTTTTTTTTTAAACCTGTATACTTCTATAAATCAAGATTCTTTGTATAGCTCCTAAAATAAAATGTGCAAATTATTCTTTAAGCAAGAGGCCCATGGCCCACATCGCTCACCCGAGCACTTTGGCTAGGAAAAATTGGAAATCAGTTCAGTATTGAAAAGTTTTAAATATATGAGTGGTCACAACCTATGGGGGGCATGATTTGAACATACTTGAATCTACACTAAATGAGTATGCTTCCATATTTATTTGACTCATCATGGCTTAAGAAGATTTTTAAAGATTATTTTGTCATAAGTTTTATCATCTATTGGGCCCCTCCCTACCCCCATGAGTCCTGATTTAAACAAACTTGAATCTATACTTTAAGAGAATGCTTCCATATAAATATGACTAATCATGGCTTTGCTGTTTTTGAGAAGATCTTTTAAATTTTCTCTATGTATTCCTATGTAAAACTTTGATAATCCATTATAGCCCCACCCTACCCCTGGGGGTCATGATTAAAACAAACTTGAATCTACACTACCTGAGGATTTTCCCACAAAAGTTTCATCTTTCCTGGCCCACAGATTTTTGAGAAGAAGATTTTTAAAAGATGATATTAATTTTTCACTAAATTAATTTGTAATTATCTCCAGTTGGAAGGAAGTGTGGCTTTTATTTGAACAAACTTTAACCCCCTTTACCTCAGGATTGTTGTTAAGTTTGTCGAAAAAGGTCAAGCAGTTCTTGAGAAGAAGTCAAAAATGTGAAAAGTTTAAAGAGATATGGACACCAGACAAAATGTGATCAGAAAAGCTCACTTCAGCCTTTGGCTCAGGTGAGCTAATAAAAAGTAAAGTAATAAAAAAAAGTTATCGCCTACCTACCTTCCCTAATATTTTTGGCATGTTACCAGAAACAAACACATTATAATTTTTTTATTGGCATAAAGGGAGAACAGTCCCTCATGCCAGCTGATCCCAGATTGACCCCACAAAGAGAAATACTAATTTAAAATATGGTAAAGTTGTCTATTGTTAACAAAGGCTATACATGTATTTTTTAATGATATTTATCAAGGACTTAGTCACCTTACCAATAACTTTTGAAATAGAGTATCGGGGATCCCTTGCACTGTATTCCGCAATTCCTGCTTCCAGGCAGAATTTATTGTTCAATAGTTCCATTTCCTATCTGAATTCTCTTTGAATCTGTGGCAGAAAAACAAACTGTATGCAAAATCTAAAAAATATCAATGGGTACATGTACGAGTATGATTATGGCATGTACAAAGGAGTAGACATGGTAGATGAGAAATAATTTTGGTTAGGAAAAACATTTTTCAACATGTTAAGGTCACTACCTTTTTATAAAGGGGTGGGGGTAGAGGTGGCAAATTTTGTCAAGTCAGATTATTTATATATTTTTAGCATTCACAGGACAGAATATTTATTTCCAGTTGATCTAAAAATGATTATTTACTTTCTTTTCTTGTCCAAAATCAGAAAACCACTTAACCACATGCAAGAAGGGTGTGTGTGTGGGGGGGGGGGGGGGAGATATCACAGTGACAGTCATGGTCTGACAGGGTCATTGTTTTCCTTTATTTCTAGCAATGCCAGTGGATGAAGTTAATTTACTTAAAAATCAAGATTAAAATATTTATTTCCTTAATCTATCAGTCCCCCCAATCAAATGATCGTCCCTATATGCTCTTAATCAGGCAGGTGGTTTTAATAAAGTACTAGTATGTGCTTAATCTCACATTTATGCACATGATCTATTTCTGACAGCTGTCTGAGGCAATTCGAACTACCTGTTTGTTCGGTAGCTCTAGCTTAATTACAATAAACTGACAGCTGATTCAAGAGACATTATCTGAATGATGCCAGTCATTTACATGTACATTAATGATTAGTCTTTACTTACCTCTTATAGCCTAGCTAACGTTGGACTTTCTGTCTTCCACTTTGTTTACATGATCGAACAGCGCACATGGCCTTTTCACGTGACGATCTCCCTCGCATCGACGCTTGTTTTCCGTCACGCTTCAAATATTTCTCCACGCTTCAAATAATATTTCTCCACGCTCAAGATAATATTTCCTTCACGCTTCAAATAATGTGTGCAGTCACAATCATAATCGCGTCTCAACATAATTATTGTTTCAACAGGAGGACAGAGTTTTCGTTCCTGTCACTAGAAAAGAAGTTATCTTTCCTGTTGAAAAATAAAAATAATTGCGAACAAGGGCGCACATCATTATTATTGTTGCAAAGATTATAACGTCGACTTGGTACATTATAATTTTTAAGCGTGTACATTTTTATTTATTTTCAGTCAGTACATTATTGTTACAGGAGGTGAAGTCTTATAAATTGTTGAAGCAAGAATAATTATAATCTTGGTGCAAAATAAAAATTATGTGTACGAATCGACTGACAAGATTATAATTTGGAGGTGTATAAAAATAATGTCTCCGTACTAACTGAAAAGATTATAATTGTAAAGTGAGAATAATTATTATAATGTAGGGGCAAAATAAAAATAATGAGTACACATGGACGGACAAGATTATAATTGTTGTAGGAAAATAATAATGTAAAAAAAAAAAAAAAAAAAAAAAAAAAAAAAAAAAAAAAAAAAAAAAAAAAAAAAAAGAAGAAGAAGAAGCAAGATTTTTATTTTGGGATGAGATAATTATTTTTGGTATAATTATATAGGAAAAAATAATAATAATGTGGGGGTACCCTACGGCTTTCCATAGATGTGCGCCCTTGTTCGCAATTATTTTTATTTTTCAACAGGAAAGATAACTTCTTTTCCAGTGACAGGAACGAAAACTCTGTCCTCCTGTTGAAACAATAATTATGTTGAGACGCGATTATGATTGTGACTGCACACATTATTTGAAGCGTGAAGGAAATATTATCTTGAGCGTGGAGAAATATTATTTGAAGCGTGGAGAAATATTATTTGAAGCGTGACGGAAAACAAGCGTCGATGCGAGGGAGATCGTCACGTGAAAAGGCCATGTGCGCTGTTCGATCATGTAAACAAAGTGGAAGACAGAAAGTCCAACGTTAGCTAGGCTATAAGAGGTAAGTAAAGACTAATCATTAATGTACATGTAAATGACTGGCATCATTCAGATAATGTCTCTTGAATCAGCTGTCAGTTTATTGTAATTAAGCTAGAGCTACCGAACAAACAGGTAGTTCGAATTGCCTCAGACAGCTGTCAGAAATAGATCATGTGCATAAATGTGAGATTAAGCACATACTAGTACTTTATTAAAACCACCTGCCTGATTAAGAGCATATAGGGACGATCATTTGATTGGGGGGGGGACTGATAGATTAAGGAAATAAATATTTTAACCTTGATTTTTAAGTAAATTAACTTCATCCACTGGCATTGCTAGAAATAAAGGAAAACAATGACCCTGTCAGACCATGACTGTCACTGTGATATCCCCCCCCCCCCCACACACACCCTTCTTGCATGTGGTTAAGTGGTTTTCTGATTTTGGACAAGAAAAGAAAGTAAATAATCATTTTTAGATCAGCTGGAAATAAATATTCTGTCCTGTGAATGCTAAAAATAAATAAATAATCTGACTTGACAAAATTTGCCACCTCTACCCCCACCCCTTTATAAAAAGGTAGTGACCTTAACATGGTGAAAAATGTTTTTCCTAACCAAAATTATTTCTCATCTACCATGTCTACTCCTTTGTACATGCCATAATCATACTCGTACATGTACCCATTGATATTTTTTAGATTTTGCATACAGTTTGTTTTTCTGCCACAGATTCAAAGAGAATTCAGATAGGAAATGGAACTATTGAACAATAAATTCTGCCTGGAAGCAGGAATTGCGGAATACAGTGCAAGGGATCCCCGATACTCTATTTCAAAAGTTATTGGTAAGGTGACTACACATATGTAAGTCCTTGATAAATATCATTAAAAAATACGTATAGCCTTTGTTAACAATAGACAACTTTAGCATATTTCAAAATAGTATTTCTCTTTGTGGGGTCAATCTGGAATCAGCTGGCATGAGGGACTGTTCTCCCTTTAAGCCAATAAAAAAATTATAATGTGTTTGTTTCTGGTAACATGCCAAAAATATTAGGGAAGGTAGGTAGGCGATAACTTTTTTTTATTACTTTACTTTTTATTAGCTCACCTGAGCCAAAGGCTGAAGTGAGTTTTTCTGATCACATTTTGTCTGGTGTCCATATCTCTTTAAACTTTTCACATTTTTGACTTCTTCTCAAGAACTGCTTGACCTTTTTCGACAAACTTAACAACAATCCTGAGGTAAAGGGGGTTAAAGTTTGTTCAAATAAAAGCCACACTTCCTTCCAACTGGAGATAATTACAAATTAATTTAGTGAAAAATTAATATCATCTTTTAAAAATCTTCTTCTCAAAAATCTGTGGGCCACGAAAGATGAAACTTTTGTGGAAAAATCCTCAGGTAGTGTAGATTCAAGTTTGTTTTAATCATGACCCCCAGGGGTAGGGTGGGGCTATAATGGATTATCAAAGTTTTACATAGGAATACATAGAGAAAATTTAAAAAATCTTCTCAAAAACAGCAAAGCCATGATTAGTCATATTTATATGGAAGCATTCTCTTAAAGTATAGATTCAAGTTTGTTTAAATCAGGACTCATGGGGGTAGGGAGGGGCCCAATAGATGATAAAACTTATGACAAAATAATCTTTAAAAATCTTCTTAAGCCATGATGAGTCAAATAAATATGGAAGCATACTCATTTAGTGTAGATTCAAGTATGTTCAAATCATGCCCCCCATAGGTTGTGACCACTCATATATTTAAAACTTTTCAATACTGAACTGATTTCCAATTTTTCCTAGCCAAAGTGCTCGGGTGAGCGATGTGGGCCATGGGCCTCTTGCTTAAAGAATAATTTGCACATTTTATTTTAGGAGCTATACAAAGAATCTTGATTTATAGAAGTATACAGGTTTAAAAAAAAAAGAAAACAGTGTTGTAAAGAAAGAAAAGGATTTTACATTCAAAGAATTATGGATGGCACAGAGGTAAAAAGGACATTCAGTGTTCAAAAGAATTAGAAATTGATTTATTTACCACAGTGGCAGATTTAGCCAGGAAAGGGGGGGGGCATTAAGAAAATCTAAAGAGTAATTGCACATTTTTACATTAATCAGAATTTTTGAAAATTATGTACATCCTAGAATTGATATATTCTGCAGTACAATTTAAAAAAAAACATGCTGCAGAATATATAAATTTTAGGATGTGGATAATATAGTAGGTGCTATATTTATATTTACATTCTTAATATATTGAAAACAGACATCTACTTTATAATTATTATTAAATACTGTACATTTAAGCTCACTGAGCCCAAGGTTAAAGTGAACATTTCTGATTAAAGAGTGTCTGGCATCTGTCTATCATTCATAAATGTTGAGTCATCTGTAAACTTTTCACATTTTCAACTTTTTTTTCCAGAATTCAACCAAATTTGTCGCTAGACAATATTTGGTGGAAAGGATTTAATTTTTTTCAAATGAAGAGCCAAGGGGAGGTCATAAAGAGAAAATTAATGTTTGACGGTGTCATTTGAAAATCTTCTTAAGAACCACTAGGCAGAAAAATTAAAACTTATGTGAAAACTTCCTGGCATAGCGTAGTTTCATTTTCAGTCAAATAAGACCCCTTTGAGCACTCTACCATCGGCTCATACATTCACCTCTGTCATCTGCTCGCATATATCACAGTGATAAACATGAAAAATAGTGTGTTTGTTTAAATTCATTTTAATTAAATGCCTGCACTAATTTTGTTCCTAAAGGTAGCTACTTTCCAAGTAGATCTAGAACTATTAATTTAATTTAAAATAATTCTGGGAATGTTATGTTTTTTACATTATAATGTCAAAATCTTGATGCGAGCCCATTGCAGAGGTGTCTGAGAGAGGAACGAATGACAACTCTGCATAGGAGATTGCCCTTTGAGAGGATGGAGCCACAGTATGGGATTAAAAATTTGCATGGGAATACACTACAAACTAGAAATTTGACCATAGGACATGAATACCCCTACTAGGGCTTATCATGCATCATGAAAATTTGCATTAATGCATTTGTGTATGAAGTTTGATGATAATATCTTGAAAAAAAAAAGGTCATTGGAAAGGTCCAGGTAAAAAGGTTGAACAAAGTTGATAAATTCTTAACAAATTTTGCATCAGTGCATAAGCTTACATAAAAGCATATGGAATTGTTTTGTTGAAACTGTGTTACATGCATATAGTTATTTAAGAAAAAAAGTGATATCAAGGTCCAAGGAAAAGTCCTGGTCAAAATTTTATGTTGCAGTTCAATAACACTCTTCAAAATGTATCAGCATATGAAGTTTGAATAAAAAATCACAATTTTTTCTTTAAAATTGAGCTTAGCAATTAACACAAAATTGAGAGAAATTGAGAGAAGTCAAGATCAACAAAATTTATGCAACTGAATAGCTCTTATCAATATGTATAAGCATATGAAGATTGATCCAAATCTCTTGAATAGAGCTACTTACTAATCTAAGAAAAATGAGGTCAATGTCAGGGGAAAGGTCAAATCAAAAATATGTTGATGAAGTTGAATGGGTCCCATCAATATGTATCAGCATATAAGATTTGATAAAAATATCTTAAATAGCTCTTGAAACTGAGCTTAACACTCTAATTTAAGAAAAGTAAGGTCAGGTTCAAAGGAAAGGTCAAGGTAAAAAAATTTTGAGTAGCTCTCATCAATATGTATCAGCATATAAAAGTTCAAAGTGTGATGGAAGGACACAAGAACATGTTATGGGGTTCAAGTAAATTTTTAATTACAAACCTTTAGGCTAAGGTGAGGCCACAATATTAGGTAATTTTTCATTGGAATAAAGGACTTTTTTTTTTAAATTCTTCAGCCAGGAACAAGGTGACTAAGGTGAGCATTATTAGGTGTCTAAGGTGAGCATTATGGCCCATGGGC